CAATTTTCGCATTCGATCTAAATTTCTTAACTTACAAACCTGCTGCAATGACACTTAATGATTCAATTCTTTTGTACAGTGATTCAACAATTTCCAAGCTAAATCCAATCTTTTAAAAATTGGTTTGAAATTTTTAGAAGTGAGACCAAATCAGAAACGATTCAGGAAATTCCTAACTAAGGTGACACTTTTCAAAGCAGATTTAAAACTGAGTCTGCACTTGTTTGAAGTGAGTTTAAACTTTGGAATAAGTCATCAATATTTTTCTTACTGAGCCTAAACTTTTCTGTTATGTTATTCAATCCTTTTTTTAAGTTGTCAAAGCTTTCCTGAAGTGATTCAACATATACTGAATCCAAGCTTTAAATAATTAGTTTTGCTTTTTCTGAAGTTAGGCAACATTAGCTGATTAATCCTTTTCCTAAATGAATCCAAGGTTTCCTGTATTGATTCAACTTTTTCCGAACTAAAACCAAACTTGTCAGAGCGGGTTTGACATTTTTTTGTTAACTGCTTTGGCATTTGGCAAGGACACAATCTTGCTTGTAGAAAGTTTTCCGAAGTGAACCGATAATTTTTTTTAGCCTAAATTTTCCAAATGGTGTCCAACCTTTTCTGAAGTGGTTCAAAACCTTCCTTAGGGAGTCCAAACTTTTCTGTTGAGTGATTGAATTATATTGAATGTTAGTCTGAGCTTTCCTGAAGTGATTTACCTAACTTTTAACGTAGATTCCGCTCCCTTAGATCCCTTCCTCGTTCTTGTGAGATTCACATCCTTTGAAAATTAGGCTGAGATTTTAAAGAATGGACTTTTGTGTGTTCATACCTGATGGTAGATTTTTTTTTAAGTAAGCACAATTGTTGAGAAAGTTGGGTTTACATTCACAAAAAGTACGTATTTTTATAGAAATGTGGATTTTATCAGCCAAGTTGGATTTTGGCTCCGTCCTTTGAAAAACAGGCTTGGATGTTATAGAATAGACCTTTGTGAGTTCATACGTGATGGTGGATTTTTTTGAAGCCAGGTGGGATTTCGGTTCAATCTTTTGAAATTTGTGCTTGGATTTTATAAAATGGAACTTGCTGAATACCGGAAGGACGCACCTGGTTAATATTCACAAAGGTTTCAATAGAAAATTAATTTTTCTGTTTTGCCGAACTGAATTTTGGCTTCTATCTTTGAAAAATAAGCTTGTATTTTAATAGATGTTGCTGAATCCATACGTGAGGGTTGAATTTCTTCAAGTTTTCAGAATACCGAGTTTAAACTCACAAAAACTTTGATTTTCTGTTCTGCCAAGTTGAATTTCGGCTCCGATCCTTGAAAACAGACTTGAATTTTATAGAACGAACTTTGCTGAATTAATACGTGATGGTAAATTTTTTGAAGCATGCACAATTTTTTAGAAAACTGGGTTTGAATTCCGCATGATATTATGCTTATTACGAATATCAGAATCGGAAATGAAATTCAGTCCTAGACCAATATCTTACGACAATTGACATTGTTGACAGCACGCAGCACTGCTTCCGGAACGCCAAAAGCTTCTGCAATTTCTACTGATAGGGACTAAAATTGTCTGAACTTTCGAAAATTCAGAAAATTTTGGAGCTTTCTAAATTGCAAGAAATCTAGATTTTTATATGTTGATACTCCTTGAATCGAGCACAAACGTATTTCCTAAAGTTCAAGAATTACTTAAGCTGGAAATTAAAACTCCAAAAATTCTTGGAACTCTTGAACTTCTGGAATATTGAAAAATTTGCGAATATACAGATGTTTCTGCTTCCAACATCGAGAACAATTATTAAAGAAATTATTACCCGAAATCCAAAATCTGCGGGAAGTACTAGGAACTAAACAGTCGAAACAACAAAAATTCTCGCATCTCCGTAATCTTTCGAATCTGTGTGAACTGCTGGAACTGCATGTAACTCTAGAAACTTCTGGATATCTCGAAACTCTGAAAAAATTCTTAGCATCGGTGATTACTGAAACTTTAAGAACATTTGAATCATCCATGATGTTTTTAAAATTTGTGAAACTCAAGAGATTTCCTGAAAAATCACAAAACTGACAGCTCCAGTTGATTATGTATTACTATTTTTACGTAGCAAATTGCACTTGACAAAATAATATATGGCTTTTGGATATTAGGGTGGTTCTAAAATATCGATATTGCTTCACCATGCTCAACCGATTCTAAAGCAGGTTCTGATCATTCTCCCGAAATTTGAGTTTATTTGGATGCGAACTCGTGCTGACCTGGCCCTCCATCCCCTTGGCTAGTTTGTAACCTGGACGTTGGTGGGCGGGCCTAATCTTATGGTTCATAGTGGAACGTTGGAGATGGTTGGTTTAGGTTCGGCATCGTTGGCTCATGCCGTGGCAGAATAGCGTCAAGAGCATTCGATGAGGATTACTGAGCTTCCCCTCTCTTATGAACCATTGCATGAGAAAACCAAAGTTCTAGTCTGAAGTGATAGTATCACACTTGTTACTCCTTTGTTTGAGAGCCGCGTTGTAGTACGCTTACGTATAGGCACTGACGTTGGGTGCGATACTGGCGGGTTTTGCCGCAAATCACTCTTATTTTTTTACGCAGATAGATTTATTTGGGTTTGCAAAGGAATTATACCATTGAAATATTTCAGAAAGTATCCAACAGTGCTCCTTCTACTTGCGTGACAAGCTTTTATTGTTGTTTTCATTGAGGTTTTACTCAGGGAACAATGTTGAACACCATTTTTGTAAATGGTATTGTAACTAATCTTGTATGTGCTTCATTTTGATTTGGAATAAGTGTTTGAACTATGGCTCGGGATTTCCACTGTGGCGTGCTTCTATTGTGACATACCCATACGTAACTTTGTGGGACGGCATAGTGGAAACGTGTGAGTGTAGTTGGAGCATATACCCTATATAATTTAAAAATCAGCTAGGAAACTATCTTCAAAGTGAAGCATTTTAGTCACTTGAAGGTGTCACCTGGGTCGAACTAATATATAATAAATATAGGTCAAAGGCAAAAACAACTTGATACACGTTAAATTTTAGATTACAAGCACAAGTGCAGGTACTCAATAAAGCATGGGTTATAATTGATTAGGTAGATTAAAGATTTCAATTATTTATTAAATTAGGCTAATGAAATATCCTAATCATCAAACGAACTTAAATAAGAAAATTTAGGCAGCCTAATAACATTAAGTAGATTAACAAAAGAGTTAGGATTCGGGGGGTCCGCTTTGGGAGGCAACTAGCTTTTAAAGCAACTGGCAACTAGCCTTTTCATATATTGTCTGTTTATTTTGATGGTTGCTTTAAAATATCAATTTGGTATATATGTGAAAGGATGATTGGGTGGGAGATGGATTTTTGATTTCTTCACAGCACAAATCTAGTACTATGTGTCATTTCCTCAAAACCGGGGGGGTTTACCGGGAATAACCGACCTCTCCAATTCCTTCCCATGGCGTTCAAGTGGTCCGCATAGACTATTCAGCCATTACCCTTCCTTTATCCTCGGCTTTGGATTGACTTGCGCTCCCATTGCCCCACCAAACGCTGCAAAATGAAAATGAAAATGAAACGAACTCGTACTGACCTGGCCCTTTGAAATATGTATGGGAATTACTATTGGAAAAGTGATCTTTTTGTTCTCATCGTCGTAGCACTTCACCATAATTATTTACGGGAAAGCTCGCTATCTGATATCTTCTGTAATTTTATTAACTACACTGCCACTGCCAACTACATTAACTACACTACACAGTCCCATATAGATTTTAATCAGGCATGAGTTATCTATTAAAATCAATTGTTAACTACCGATATTTTACACTGTGCACTAAAAGTTACATGCTTTGTTGAGAAAATATCGTGAAAAATATCAGAACTAGGTTGTCCCATCCAAAAGAATCCATAGGTTCACAGCATATTTTCAATAGCGTTTTTCTCTGATTGCTGTTTTTTTCAGATGGGACTGATATACTTTTATAGGCAGTACAACTTTGCTGAAAATCACTTTTTTATGATTAGTTATTAATTGATTAAGAAGCCGATAACTTTATGATATAATTAATTGACTGCTTTCAAGGCAACACTGCACCTTGCACTTATGACATAGTAGCCTGGATTTTTTGCCTTATTCTTCGCGCCAAGCACACCAATGTTGCCTGCTGAGAAGTTTATGGAGCATGTCAGAAGAATATCAACTTCCTAATTAATTAATTACTAATAATTAAATTAATTAAATCAATTAAATAATTCAATTCAAATCCGGTCTTCAGCAAAGATGTAACTAAGAAAAAATTTACATTAGCATAGATAACAAACTTTTTCGTAGATTATTACAGCGAAGAACTGTAACGATGAGAACAAAACATTTGATTTCCCCGTAGTAAGTAATTGCTATACAAACTTCAAAATGAGCTCAAATTTTAAGAGAACTACAAAGTTCTGATCAGGGCTGGCAAATGTCATTTTCAATGAAAGATCTCACGTGATATTTACAGAGATACTTCGGATGAGAAAACGATGACAGAGATTTTCTTTAAAATCTCATCGATTTTTTTTTGTCATGACAGAATGTGACAGTGCTGTGATCATCATGATTACTATTGCTATAAAAGTTACTTGAACCAAGGAAATCTTAAAAATATATTCAGCCTACCGATTACTTACGGTTACTTGCTTAAATTCATCTAAATCAGTTAGAAATGTTGATTTCAAAACTGCATAAGATTTATTCTCATCAGTGCTTGATCATTGGAAAATGATAAGAAAGCTTATGATCGGTCGTTTCGTCTCGTGAAAGTGAGAGGACCTGTTTTCTCATTGTCACATGACGGCCGTGATATTTACCAGCTCTGGTCCTGATTTGAAATTGATTAAGCCTGGTGGAGCAAAATCGACATTTTTAACCACCCTAATAGATATGATTGCAATTAAGGAATAACATGCAAACTAACAGATTTCCCTTTATCTTCCATTTCAGATCAAACTAAAGAAGATCCTCGGTTTGACAGTATGCAGCAACGCAGGCTTGGACGTCTCGTCGTCGACAGGTGTTTTGGCCTATCCGGCTGGGTAAGTTTAACATCACATTTTCCCTTATTCTCAATGCACTTCGGAGCTCGAATAATTCATTCCATTGCTGGTTGACTCTTTTGATACTCAACTCCTCCACTTTTATTTTTCGATTAAGTCTATCTACTCGAAAAGATCTCCCCATGCACCTCGAAAGAAGAAAGTTACTGAGCCAGTCAGGCCGTCAGTCAGTCAGTACGTCATATTGATGCCGAAGGTGATGAATGCATGAATGAAATTTGGTGCAGCAAATGGTAATGAAGGATGGCGGTTGAAATTTGCTCACGTTTCTGTGAGCTTGAATCGTTTTCGGAGGATTTCTTCAAACAACAAAATCCCAACGCAGGCCGACAGCGCCGCCGCACCTTGGGAAAGTATGTAAATCAGATCCTGCAAGAAGTGCAACGTGCCTGTCCGGTTCGAAGCCAGATCTGAAAGCTCTCCGTCAGTTTTGGATCTTTGATATTCATCACGTCACGCATATGTAACCAATCGACCAGCCAACGACGGTGAGCGGCACGGAACAGCAGTGTGACCATATGCAAATCGATGTTGTCGGGGGCTCGTTGTTGTTGAACGCGTGAATTAAGGTTACCATAAGAGGCCCTCCTCGTGCTCGAACTGAACAAGCTTCGATGCCCCCTGAAATGCTATTGTTATGGGTTGTTTGAGAATTGCATGGCTAATTTTGGCTATTCGCGAACACTACCCTCTGTTGTGGTAGTATTGACAGAGCATGAAGATCACACAAAGTGGTCTCTTCCAATAATGCAGCATTCAGATTAGATCATGCTCGAGTTTGGCGCGATAAACGCACGTGTGCGTGCAGAGATTGAAACCGCCTCGTGGATGACCAATTTGACACCCCAAAATGCCCCTGATCATCGAATCAACATTCGATGTTAGGTCAAAATCTGCATTGGATCAGAGCGTGCAGCGAAGCAAGATGGTTTTCCCTTTCCATTCCAATTGGTCACGACCCGATTAGATAATTCTCTCTCTGCACTGTTTGCCTTGTATTTGTTATGGAAATTGTTGAATTAAAAGTATGTCTCAAGGTTTTCTGGCTCTGGCTGGCTGTGATGTGAATTGTTCGACTGTTGATTCTCTTGTGTTCGGTTAGCGTGCATTCTTGGCAGATGTACGCACATTGGACGAGACTTTTGTATTCATTGACGCCAATGACCCGACAGAGATTCGATCGGAAACGCCACCCGCGCAATAGCCTTGTGTGGTTGACCGTCGTCGGTTGAGTTCGCTGCACGGGCGCACAGGTAGAATCTCCATATGGATTGGTCGTCATCGTTCTGTCGCCCATTTAACGATTTTGGGTTGAGTGTGATTCGTACCGCACCAGATTCTGACTGTTATGTCTTATTTTCCAGTCAAAACTCTTTGTTTCGATTTTCGAACAAAGAGGTGAAAAATTGTTACATATTTAATGTGTCCTAGGGGTTCTCCATAAACCACCAGGGGGGAGGCGTTTGGCGGCCATACAAATTTAAAATAAATTGTTTTGAAGTTTGTCCTCTGCTACAACAAACTGCTATGGGACTGTTCATTAACTACGTAGACAGTTCAGGGGACTGGCAATTATCCACGGCCCATACACATTTAAAAAAATTGTGTATGGACATTTGTCAACGCAGGGGGAGGGGGGCAATAATCATAAAAAAAAACTGTCTACGTAGTTAATGAACAACTCCTCTTTAGATTTGTATTGAGGTTTCCATAAATTATGCTGATTTTGGGCGAATTTATAGACGATTTGGATTTGCGAGTGAGTTCATAATTTGCATGTTAAAATGTACACACTTAGAAATAACAAATTTTTCACGTGACAGAATTCATAAAGGATGAGACGTAAACAAACATTTCATGTAAAATTAAGTGCTCCGAGACTAAAAAGTACGTTACTCTACGAAAAAAAAAACATTTGATTGAGCTGAATTTCGCGTCTGTTAAGACTCAATTTTATGTCAAAATTGAAACTCAAATATGTCAGTCTCAGAAACTCATATACGTCAATCTAAATTTACATCAATGTTTCTAAGTGTGCAAGGTAAACGAAATGTGAATATTATGGTGGTTCATGTTCATGTATGGTGGATTACAACGACAACCCCAGACAAAACACTTTTGAAGCTTTAATATTTGATTTAAATTCGAAATCTAAATGACCATGCATTTTTATTTACATTATCATGATATGATTGCCAGAATTAACTTAGAATTCTGCTCCTAATTATCATGGAATTCTGCTTAAACTAACCAGAAAACTCTCCTTCTAATTCTCTTTGGAATTTCCTTGAAACTCCTTCTAAGAATTTGACTGAAATTCTTCTTTGAAACCTATTCTGACAATTCTTCCCACATTTTTTTTTTAATTGTAGTCAAAACTTTTAACAGAACTTTGTTGTTCAGTAATTTCCAGGGCTTTCAAAACATAAGATGTATGTGCATTACATTAAATGACTCAAAGAGTTCTGAAGATATTTTTCTCAAAAAAAGCTTCCGAAAATGTTCAGTTGGTCACGTCTTTAAAAAAAAAAGCACGGAATCGACGGAAAACAAATCAAGCGAGAAAACAGTTTTGGGTTTTCGCTCGATAGGGTAGAGCACTACTTCGTCGTAATCGCCCATTTCCGTTCTATCGATCATAAAAGATCAATAATATAATTGATTTCACCATGCACAAATCAATAAGAGGTTTGTTCAGATGCGTTAGTTCATTAGCTACTACAACATAAATCCTATTAGAGTGAATTGTATGAATATTTTCGCTCACAGAACAAAACAATAGAAGGGCTCCTAGCAAGTCCCCTTTTCCTACGTTTATCCGTAGGACGAAGAAAATCGAAAGGCGTTTCAATGCGTTAGGACGAAATTCTCGTAGAACGAATTTAGAATCAAGAAGCAGTATTAGATTTTAAACAATTTTTGACTCTTTATCAAATCCATGGAAAGGTGAATATATTTAGAAGTCATCTTTGAGAGAAATTTTCAATTTTTTGTTCAAACCCGTTCAAAAAAAAAGTAGGTAAAGCGCGGGTTGTACTTAGTATGACTCCTATGCGACTACCATGCGTCGTGACCATGCTTCAGTCGCTATAAATCAATGGAATTGAATTACTTTAATTTTTGAAAATACAAATCTATTTTTTGGGCTGCCCTAACATATAAATGGTCACCCTAAGACAAAATAAAAAATACGGGTCTTATATTTTTCGATAATGAACAAAACTACAATTTTTTACGAAATTCTGAGAACCACTACATCGTTCTGCTATGGGTAAAGGGTTTAGTAAAGGGTTTTTTTTTTCCAAAAGGGATGTCCTAACTTTTGTTCCATATTGTTGAAGCTACAAGTGTCGAATTAGCTGTCATTTATTCAGTGTGTCTTGCCAAATTGCCATAAAGAGTTTTAGCGTCCAACAGCACGTGCAGATGATAAAATTGTTTTATCAAAGTAAGTGTTCTTGGCGAGCAACGTTTCGAGCGCTTCGCCCATTTTACAGTCGCAATAATCGTCCTACCGAGAGGACTATTCGCAATGTGGTGAACAATTTCGGTGAAACTGGTTCGGTGAACGCTCAACCACCGCAGGCTTTAACTTGGCGAATTCTGCGTCGAGGCTTGGGTCTGCACCCATACAAGATCCAATTGATCCAGGAGCTCAAGTTTAACGATCATAGACAGCGCCGTAAGTTCACTGATTGGGTTTTGGAGCAGTTGGAAACAGACCCCGAAAAATCTTCTTGAGCGACCAGGCCCATTCCTGGATGAACGGGTATGTGAACAAGCTGAATTGTCGAATTTGGGACAATGTCAATCCACACGAGGACCACCAAGTGGCAATGCATCCCCAGAAAGTCACCGTTTGGTGTGCATTTAGGGCCGGAGGCGTCATTGGTTCGTACTTTTTCGAAAACGACGCTGGCGAGGCCATCACCGTCAACGGAGAGCGCTACAGGTCGATGATTACCAACTTCTTCTGGCCTTAAGTGGACGATATGGATGTGAACGATATGTGGTTCCAACGATGGTGCAACGTGCCACATAGCGTACGACACAATCGATATTCGGCATGAGCGATTTTTGGGCATGGTTATTTTGCGCGGAGGCGTTGTCATCTGGCTACCAAGATCGTGTGATTTAACCCCGCTAGACTTTTTTCTTTTGGGGCTATGTTAAGTCGCAGGTCTATGCCAATAAGCTGCAAACCACCGATGCCCTTAAAACCAACATTACTCAAGCCATCAACGAGATTCAGCCCGATTTGTGCGCCAAAGTAATGGAAAATTAGACCTCTCGGATGCACGGCACCAAGCGAAGCCTGGAAAACTCAGGGAATTTTATTTTGCAACATGAGTGGACATCCTCAGGCATATATACAGTCAGGAATCCTTATTGCCGGATTCCTTATTGCCGGTATCTCTTATTGCCGGATCCTTATTGCCGGGCTATCCGCGAATAAGGATACCCACAGCTTATGGGATTTTCACTAATGGGGGCTGTAGTGGATTATCTCATTTGTTTCAATACATAAAGCTATACTGTCTTCGACAAAGTTGCTGTACTGGGTTAGACCAACAAGCCTGTGCCATTGGATTTGGGTTAAATTGAGAACTACGCCGCTAGAGGCGCTTCACTTTTATGTTACTTATGACGGGCGCTATAATATATGGATCATATTTCCAACATAGAATATTTCGTGATTCTGACCATATAGATAGTTACTGTCTTGAGCAAAGTTGTTCAGGTGACCAAGTCCTTTCGGATGGTGGCCATATTAGTTCAGAACTCTCTCACTACGCAGCGCTAGTGTGCATGTGCAGTTCCTATATAAACTGTATCTCGAGAGCCTGGCCATATAGAAAGTTGCTGTTTTCAGCAAAGTTGTGCAGGTGAGCAAGTCCTTTTGGATGATGTTCATATAAGTTCAGAACACGCTCACTATGCGGCGCTAGTGTGCATGTGCAATTCTTATATAAACTGTA